CACTTGGGAACACTCAGGTGACCCATGAGGACAGTTGGGGGACCCCTAGGGACACTTGGGGACACTCAGGTGACCCATGAGGACAGTTGGGGGACCCCTAGGGACAACTGGGGACACTCGCAGCCATTCAGTGACACACAGGGACAGCTGGGGACACTGACCACAAAGTACTTCTGGGCTCCCAGCTTGGCCTGGAGCTCCGCCCCGAAGACAGCGATCTGCCCGTCATAGCGGCTGTTGCGCTGGGGACAACCAGACGTGTCACCCAGAGGTGGCACCCTGTCACGTCACCCCCCTCGTTTGACCTGGAGATGTCACCTCCTAGCGTCACCTGGACGCATTCACCCCCTCCTGTCACCCCTTTGTCACCTGTGTCACCTGGACATGTCACCCCCTGACATCACCCAGACATGTCACCCCCCGGTGTCACCCCTCGTGTCACCCGGACATGTCACCCCCTCCTGTCATTTCCTGGTGTCACCTGGACATGTCACCCCTCATGTCACCCCCTTGTCACCCTGTTGTGTCACCTGGACCTGTCACCCCCAGCATCACCCACACATGTCACCCCCTGATGTCACCTCCTCCTGTCACCCGGACATGTCACCCTCCTGTCACCTCCTGGCATCACCCAGACGTGTCACCACCTTGTGTCACCCAGATCCGTCATCGCCTGGCATCACCAGGAGACGTCACCCCTTTGTCACCCTGCTGTGTCACCTGGACATGTCACCCCTCGTGCACATCCTGTCACCCTGTCACATCGTCCGGACACATCACGCCCCTTGTATCACCTGGACGCATCACCCCCTCCTGTCACCTCTTGGTGTCACCCCCTCCTGTCACTTGGACATGTCACCCCCTCACGTCACCCCAGATGTCACACCAAGGAATCACTCCCTCCTGTCACCCCCTTGTGTCACCCGGACACAGGAACACCCACAGGGACCCCAAAGCCCCGGTGCCACCCACCCACCCACGGTGGCCAACGCCGACCCCGTCAAGGGGCTCACCCAGGGATGACCCCGAGGAGGTGGCACCCATGGGTGCCCCATGGCCGACACCCACCCACAGGCGCCCCCAAGACATGACTGAGCCATGAGCGTCCCCAAGGTGACCGACCCGTGGGTACCCAACGACCCCCACCCATGGGTGCTCACCGGGCGACACTGCTCCTCGCTAAGAACCGTCTCCTTGTTCTCCTCGGGGAGACACTCCAGGGCGTCGAAGTACAACCACTGGGTGATGGGCGTGAACTTCCCTGACACCGCCTGCACGCAGGGAGGGGCCGCCGGTAGCCACAGAGGGCGCCCAGGTAGCCCACGCGGGGGCCCAGGTGGCCCCGGGGTTTACCTTCATGACCTCCTGGGCCGCCAAGCCCCCGATGAAGGCGTTGACGGGGGCCAGGTCGCCGGTGGCCTGGAAGGCCAGTTCCCGCAGGAGATCCGGGTCCAGTTCGGCTCCCGGGGCCACCTCCCGGGTCAAGGCCACCACCTCGTCCGCGTCGCCCTGGGGGGGACACGGATGGGACGTGACACGTCTGTGGGGACGTTTCTGGGGACCCCCCGAGAGCCCTTGGGGATGGCAGTGGCCCGGGGCAAGAGCTGGTGGCCATGGTGGTGGCCCCCAATTGTCCCCAAGGGGTGGGGGGGCCATGGCGGGCGGCCATTTTGGTGCAGGACCTGGTGGCCTCTGTGTCCCCCACCTGGTGGCGTGGCCGAGGCGGGCGGCCATGTTGGCGTATGAAGCGGTGCAGGGCCTGCCAGCCCCAGTGCATGATGGGAGGTCTCTCGGCCTTCCCGAAGTCCGTGATCATCAGCTCCGGCTCCACCAGCGCCTCCCGCAGCCGCTTCTGGGGACGGCGAGGACACAGGGTGGGCGTGGGGGGCGCGACAGGTGAGCAACCTGTGCCTCCCAGTCCCTCCCAGCATACCCCAGTGACCCCCCGATTTCTCCAAGTCCCCCTCACCATTTCACTCCCGAACCCTTCCCAGTATCTCCCAGTGACATCCCACTCCTTCCCAGTAGTCACCAATCCCTCCCATTACACCCCAGTTTCCCCCATTCCCCTCCCAGTTCCCACAGATCCTTTCAGTTCCCTTCCAGTTCCCCCAGTACCTCTCAGTTTCTTCCCAGTCACACCCAGCTCCTTATAATCCCCCTCCCAGTGCCTCCCAACCCCCCATAACGCCCTTCCAACACCTCCCAGTGCTCCCCAGTTCCTTCCTAGCACTCCCAGTTCCCTCAATCCCTTCCATTCCAGTCCCAATAATCCGCCCCCAGCACAGCCCAGAACCTCCTATCCCCTCCCAGTCCTTCCTAATCCCCTCCCAATCTCTCCCAGTATCTCCCAATTTCCTTCTACTGCTCCATAATCCCCTTCCAGTCTCTCCCAGAGCCCCATAATCCCCTCCCAGTACTTCCTAATCTGCTCTCAATCCATCCCAGTACCCCCCAGTCCCCTCTCAACCTGTTCCCAGTCCCTCTCAAATCTCCCTCCATTCCCAACAATCCTCTCCCAGTGTATCCCAGTACCCCCTAGCCCCTCCCAGTCCCCCCCAGTCTCTCCCAATGCCCCACAATCCCCTCCTAGTACTTCCTATCTGCTCCAGTCCCTCCCAGTGCCCCCCAGTCCCATCCCAGTGCCACTCACGAAGCGAATGTGCTTGGGCATCTTGACCTGGGTGACGATCCCCCCCCTCACGTAGTCCCCGAACCCGCTGGTGTCCCCAATGCTGAAGGTGTACGGCCCTGGGGGGACGGGCTGTCACTGAGGGACCCCAGAAACCGGGAGACGCCCCACAGGAGACACCGTGGGGTCTGGGAGCCCCGACAGAGGGGACCCGGGCGCGCGGGCTCACCGAGGACGCGGATCTCGACGGGGCCGCAGCCGTTCAGCTCCTCCATCCCCTCCACCTCGGTGAAGGTGACGAAATCGCCCGTCTCGAAGCCGTGACGAGCCTCGTCCAGGCACGTCACCTCCCCCGGGCATCCCTACAGGGGGAGGAAACGGGGTGCTGAGGGGACCCTGGCGTCTGGGTGACACCTACCCCCACCCCCAGGGATCTGGGTGACACCCTACCCCCACCCTCGGGGGTGCAGTACCTTGGTCACCATGGAAACCATGGCACTGAGAGGTTGTTCCCCGTTGGTGTCCGTCACCACCATGTCGTCCCCAAAATCACAGAAAAGCTGCCTAAAATGGAAGGGGGGCGGGGAGAGGGGGATCAGACAGGGGGCCCAGGTGTGCGGGAGCCCCTATAGAAGGGATTTATGTGCCTGGAACATCGTACAGAGGGGACCCCGGCGTCCCCACGCCCCCACAGAGGGGACCCCAGCGTCCCCTCGCCCCCACAGAGGGGACCCCGGCTCACCCGAAAAGTCCGCGGGTGTCGGCCACCACCAGTTTGATCCCGTGGCTGTGGCAGAAATCCCCGACCCACAGTTGTTCCTCCAAAGACGAGTTGGTCAACACCACCACCTACAGAAAAACCCCATCCGACTGTCCGTCACCCGCGGCGAGCAACAAGCAGACGGACGGACAGGAGGGTCCGGTGGGGGTGGGTGGGTGAATTACTCCCTCTGGGAGGGTTAATGATTCCCCCCCCCACCCCGGGAGGGGTATGGGGAGGCTTTGAGGGGTACAGTCAGATGCACAACCGGCTGGACAAGCAGACAAGGGATGTGGAGACTGTCAGACCCCAAAAATATGGGATAGAGGCAGTTTTGAGGGGGAACAGGGGGTCCCGAGTGGGTACAGGCAGCCAAAATACACAAGGAACCACAGAGAGGTACAGGCAGACACACAACCAGATACACGGACTGACAGTCAGACGTGTAGTAGCAATAACTGGGGGGTACAAGCAGTAGTAGTAGTAGTTCTGGGTGGGTACAGGTGGCCAC